TTACGTTCAATAAACAAAGTCCTAAATATTGTTGATAATTCACCTACTCACGGAATTGCTTTACCCTTCGTGTCAGGCTTGCTTGATTTAGTTCTGATTAAAAACCTTTATTTACAGTTTTCGAAATAAACAACTACAATCTATTGACGGTGGCGGGAAATTCATCAATAGTAAAGAAAATCCCTGTTACTATTCCATATTTAGGTATCATTACTGATAATGAAGTTAATGAGTTTGATTATGTTGATTGAAGTAATAAAATTCTACACAGGTGCAATTTCAGATTTTCGGACGAGTTTAACAAAACAGTTAATTTCAACAATGTTGATTGCGCTTTCAGTTTAACATTTTTCAAGGGTTGAGAATTATCTAATTAGAAAAATATATACTATATTAAATAATGGCGAGTGACGAGGATGATGAGATTAAAAATGAAGAAGCGCCCGAGGTTGTTAGTAATGAAGTTAATGAAGAAGCCAACGAAGTTTTAGATAATGAGGTTAAACCGGAACAAAATGAAGAAACCGCTAAATTAGACAACAGTGAAGTTATAGAAACAGAACAGTTAATTTTAACAATGTTGATTGCTCTTTCAGTTTAACATTTTTCAGGGGTTGAGAATTATTCCATATTTGCACACAACACAAATTTTCCTTGTTTGCTTCGCTCTTGCTGTTTTTATTTTTTTTTTTTTGTTGCAGTATTTGACGGCCTATTTCGTTACCTACATCTGATGAGCAAGTGCCACCTCGTTTCTGTCTGGGCATGTGCGCTTGACATGAATGCAGGTGCATTATTGTCGGCTAGTGCAACCGACTGCAGTTTCTTGCGCCATGCAGCCTTGCGACCAAGGAGCCTGATCGCAAGGAGTTGCGACGTACCTGCAAGGGGACCGAAACCATATCCTTGTGCCAGGGGCAGGTCCGAATGTTTAGTTTTCGCAATTGAACGTTTAACATCCTGACGACGACAAAGGACAAGACCCTTATCCCCAACAAAACACAACATGCTCTCCCTTCCCGTTCTTGCTTGGCTTTTGCTCTTGGCCGCATGAATACATGTGTGTGCAAACGGGATGCTTGTCTGTTGGCTGTACATCTTCATGGAGATCATAGGGTATTCAAATTCAACTTGCAGCTGTTGATCACAATTGATTTTGTGGATTTGTTGCCGTACAAGCAAGCATTAAATCCAATGCAAGAACAACAGCAACTGACAGCAAAATATTGCATACAAAAGGCGTTTACAACATGAAAAGAGACCCGAGGATGGGTTGCGATCCGCTTAACTAGTGCCCGAAGGATTGTTTCTCGCTATTCCTTCTCACTTCAAATATTGAATTTTTCATATAGTCGAAAAGCAAGTCTCATAGCACATTCACGAATACTGCCTTGAAAAATTATTCATACTGCGTTCATGCAAAATTCTTTTTCATGTCGATATTTGATAAATTATCACGTGTACGCAGTTCTGTCACTTGACAAATTAATTCTATTTTTTGATTCTATATTCGCATCATGTTTTTATTTGCGTATCTTTCAACTTCGAACGTCAGATAACAAAAAAAGCAGGAAGCAAGGGGGTTTGGAGTTTCGGGTTTAAGGATTGAAGGTGGGGTGTTTGGGGTTGAAGGTTGGCGAACAATGCATGGGAAAAAAGCTTTGCAGAACAATGTGCATTAAAATTACATCATGAATGACAATACAAACCAAATGTGAATGATATGCCTTAAATTTTTGTTTTTTGATTTTTGAATTCGTCCTTGGTTGGCCCACTACTGGAAGTCGCAGAACAGGAGTTCCTATATATCTCTTTTGGACTAAAACATCCAAATCTTCATCGGAAACAGCGTAAATGGCTTATCTCCAATGTTCCACAAGTATAAAACAGATCTGTGGATTGTTGTTTGCTGAGAAACAAGAAACAGCTGTTGACCCAAGAAAGAAAGCGATAAGAACATTTAAAAAAGCCCAGCAGGCAAGTTTGACCGCATCCAAAAATGTTGAACAGGTTACACAATGAGTCAGTCATCTAATCGGAAGCAGAGAACAGTTTAAAGATTGGCACATTTTCTTTCTTAGCAATGCAATTTTAGCAGAAGTTTTGGACGGAAAGCGGTCTGCGTGAAAATAAAAACATTATTGCAATTGGAAAACCCACGGCCACTGTTACCAAAACTGAAAGTGGATGTGTCGTGTGCTTGTCGTTTTGCGTTGGCCTGTTGCACTTCAGTGCTGTCAACTATTACAAGGCATGAACAGGCGAGCTGTCAGTTTAGATTTGTTTCTCCACACGCGCGGATGCGTACATCTGTCAGCAAGACCTTGCAGTTCAGGACGGCGCTTGGCATGGCTCCAATTCGTCCGCAAGAGTCGTAAGAGACTTATCACAGGCGATGGCTAGAAGATTTTTTGTCGGTTAGAATTCCTGGTAGCTAGTGTGCAGCACATTTACGTGAGAGTCAAGCATTCTATTCGGTTGCAACGTGCGTCGTTCGCAGTGTCTCGGGTCAGACTCCCTTTTATGTTGATATTTTTCTAATGTCAGTTGCAGCATTTAAAACGGCAGTCCCGACCTTGTTTTCGAACCTGCAAATCTGCAAAAATCTATGCTCGTGGACGAGTGTCCATGGGCCCTGCAGGTGACCGAAGAGTCCGATCGCGGATCGGTAAATGCGAACCTGGACAGAGAGCGGAAGACAGTGAGACTGACAGTGACCAGGAGCAGCAAGAGCCTCAAGGTGAGTCTGCTTCTGGTTCTGCAGGTCCAGCTATCGAAGTGGAGGAAGTGGAGTACACTCGCCGTCAACAGGTCAGTCCAAGAAAGAAAGAGAGGTCGACTTCCTGTTCCAGGACGCACCAAACTGAAAGGCAGAACTTCCTTGGCTGAGATCCTTGAAGCCTCTCCTGTGGAGATTGCGAAGGTTCTCTTCCAGAAAGGCTTTTGCAGTGAAGCTCCTGCAGCTCGAACTTGCAGTTGCCAGAGTCCCAAGTGGAAGTTGGAGCCTCTGGAGGTGCTTGCAACTGGCGCTGCAAAGTGTGCAGGAAGACTGTAGCTCTTACAAACGTGGACGCGGACATGTTTGGTGGCCAGAGACTTCCTCTCAAGGCCATTGCAGGAGCTCTCTGGCTCTTCTTCCAAGCTCGACCTCTCACCAGACGACTGCAGCTTGCTTCTGGGCGTGGATGGCATTTCGAACGCTTTTCGAGTCCAACCAGCACTTCGTGCCGATCGACCAGATGAACGACGCCATCGTGGTTTGGAAGGTGCAGCGCAGATGTCGAGCTGGATGAGATTTCGTTTCGTCAAGTGGTCGAGCCCACGGAATTGTCTGGCTCAGGTATCTGGCAGTTGGCGTGGATCCAGTTTTGGTTTGGCTGAAGCGTTTGGGCAACCGCATCACTCGAAAGGGTCAAGGTGGAGGCGGCCCCATTTCTGTTGAAGAGATGGTCGGCTCTGCTTTGGGACTCTGACGAGCCAATTCTGGCAGGAAGCGTTTGCCACACTGACGGCGCGAAAGCGTATCGGTGGTTGTCGAGTCCACTGAACGATGGAACTTTGGTAGACGCTGCTGGGTTGAAGCTTTCACACACGTGTGTGAAGCATAAACCGCCCCACCCAGAATTTTCCAAGAAAATGCGGGTCCAAGTGTGGGTTGGAGACCACTACGAGGAGCAGCTAAGAGTTGGAGGGACCCAGAAGATAGATGGGTTTTTCGCGAGTTTCCGACGTGTTGTTGGAAGACGCCCCTTCAACACTGTAGGCCCTTCCTCTGAAGAGAAGGCGCCCCGCATGGAGCAGCTCATGCATTTCCATGTGCGACTTTTCCAGCTGAAGCACTGGTTTGGAGGCCAAGATATGTTTGCCGTTTTTGGAAAGCTTCGACAGTCTCAAAGAGACGTTGGGGCTGTGACTTGGGCATCCATGTCTGCCTTCAAACCGCCTTTCGTAAACCCGGAGCCTGTACAGCGCAATCCGGTAGTTGTTCGTGACGGAGTGCAAGTCCTCACCTTGGACTGAATGCGAAAACAGCTGTTGTTGACCGTGGGAAGGAGTGGGAGACACTTAAACCCGAACCTTAAACCCTAAACCCTAAACCCGAAAGCCGCTGGCGGCGCGCGCTTCTAACTTCTTTTTAATTTAATTCAGTCTACCGCGCGAAACGCCGCGCCCGGCTGTTTGGCGGGCTTGTGTTTTCACACAAATGTACGACCGGAGCAAGCTTGGCAGTCAAAGTTTCCTTGCTAAGTGAGAGAGATGTTGCTGCCAGTGGCTGCTACTCTGAATCATGGATGCGTTGGCCTCTGTGCATCGTGAAATCCGGCGCTTACAAGAGCAGCAGCGGCGTGCCCGCTGTGTGCAAGCGCGCTTGGACTTGGCTCCACTCGTGGCCAGTTTTCGGGCCCAAGTTCCGTTCAGGTTTTGACCTCTCTCTGTTTCGGAGTCCGAGAAATTGTCGCGTCTTGTCCGCTGACCTTCAAGTGAGCGGTTTGGGAATGGTGCTTGCATCTCAGGCAGACGGCGGCATCTTATGGACGCAAACCCATTTTCATCAACATTGCTGAGTCTTCGATGCCTCAGTTTTGCAAAGCCAAGCGAGGGGTTTGCATCCGGCGTTCTGATTGGCCTGCTGGAAAAGTACCCTGTGGGCCTCGGAAGCCGCCCCGCAACACGGCGACACTGCTGGCCATGATATCCAGCGAAGGCACGCTGCAGAAGTGCCTTCCTCAAATCCTCATTGGCAACGAGTGCTTTCCGCGACGGTTGCTATTGAGTGCCCAAACAGTGTCAGCAGCCACAACTGTACAGTATTGGCGGCGGAAGTCTTCGTGGGTTGATGGCTCGGTCATGGTTCAGGCTCTGGAGGAGTTGGCCAAGGCGCTGGAACCACTGCGCCTGTCGGACAGCAAGCAGATTGTCATCGTATGGGATTGCTGCCGCGTTCACTTGACAGAAGAAGTTTTGACAGCATGTAAAAGGTTGCATTTTTGGCTTCTTTTTGTGCCAACGCACAGTACATCTCTTCTGCAGCCGCTGGACACCTGTGTTTTCGGCCCGCTAAAGCAACGAATGCGACGACGGTACGCAGAAGCCATGCGCGGCAGCGGCTGCGTCTCAGTGGCGCAGTGGATACAGCTCTTGCAAGAAGTGACAGTGACGATGCTATCAGAACGAAGTTGGCAGAAGTCATTTCGTTCGGTAGGCATCTCCGGCTCAGCGCCTCTCAGCGCAGACCTCCAGCATTTGGGCATCGAGTACCCGTTGCCAGAGCCTGGACGTGTGCTTTCTTTGACAAAGCTTCTGCCTCCGGGCAGCGACAGCAAGTGTGAGTTGTTGTTGAACTGTCCCAGGGTGCGTTTCCTGACCTAGCTTCCTGCAAAGCAGAAGGAGCCAGCAGAATCCGCAATTGTCGAAAAGAGGGTGCGGACTGTGGAGGGTCCAAACCCTGTGGCGGGAGGTGTATGGTTTTGGTGACCCCCATTCTGGGACCCAACAAAGCATGGGTTGCAGCTCTCACGGCCATGTTTGCTTGAAGCTCTGAGTTTGTTCTGATTGAAGACGTTTTAGGCCAAGGCAAACAATTTGGGTTCCTGGGAGTTCAAGCGCCCGGAAGCGGCCAAAGCATTTTTGGCAGACCAAGACCTACAAGGCGCCTACGTCTTTGCGGATTTGTTTTTGCAAAACAGCTTGGAGTGCATCCCATAAGCCGGCAGCCTGCAGAGTTAGACCGTGTAGTAGCAGTGCTAATGCCATCCGTATTCTACAGTCGGTCAGCGGCTGCAGGTGTGGCTCAGTACCACTGTAGAGTGCGATGACAGCGCACGCAGTTTCAGATTCCTTGATGACTTGCAGTTTGCAGTTTGGCACTTGCAGCCAACTTGAGCCTTGTTGTGATTGGACGTCGATGCTCCGCGCCGCGGTTCAAGCATGGCAGCAATCCACAGCTTGCAGATTCTTGCAGAGCTCTCAGTGTTGCAGAGTTTGACGTTTGGCACTGCAGCTTGGAGGGCATCGCACAACCTGGCAGCCTGCAGAGTAAGACCGTTTAGCAGCATGCACGTGGCAGTTTGTTTAACTCGAGGTTGGAAGCATCCAACTATCCAGCAGCCGGCAGAGCTCTCAGAGTTGCAGAGTCAGACGTTGGGCACTGCAGTTTGGAAGGCATCGCACAACCCGGCAGCCTGCAGAGTTAGACCGTTTTGTAGCATAGCAGCTTGCAGAGTTCTCAGTGTTGCAGTGACAGGAGGCATCCAACTATCCAGCAGCCTTGCAGAGTTCTCACTGTTGCAGAGTTTGACGTTTGGCGCTGCAGTTTGGAGGGCATCGCACATGCAGAGTTAGACCGTTTAGCAGCATGCTCTGGCACTGCAGCTTGGAGGGCATCGCACAACCTGGCAGCCTGCAGAGTAAGACCGTTTAGCAGCATGCACTTGGCAGTTTGGTTAACCAGAGGTTGGAAGCATCCAACTATCCAGCAGCTTGCAGAGCTCCCAGTGTACTATCCAGCAGCTTGCAAAGTTGTCAGTGTTGCAGAGTGTGACTCTGGGGGTTCAAGTGTGCGTGGATTCTTGATCAAGTAGTTCCACTCGACCCGTGTTGAAACACGGATCTGGGAATCTCGCGCTTCTGCAAGCTCTCAGGTGTTCAGCCTCTGTTTGCACTGAACGCGACTATTGTGCGAAGTTTGAGCGAGAGCATGTGTGTTAGGACCCGCAAGATGCTGAACTTTGCCTGCGAAGTACTGAGTGAGTGAGGTGGGTGAGGTGGGTGAGGTGAGTGAGGTGTGAGTGCGGTGAGTGAGGTGAGTGAGGTCAGTGGTGAGTGGGTCAGTGCCGGAAAGGGCTTTACAAACAATTTTCCAAATGCAGTGGTACGGAACGCGCGGCTTTTGAAACGTGGCCTATGAAATGCAAAACGGCTGTGAAACACTTGCTAAACACTGGAAGAAATGGCCAAAAGGAAGAAGAATTTGCCGGAAAGGCGTCACAAACAATTTTCCAGATGCAGTGGTACGGAACGCGCGGCTTTTGAAACGCGGCCTATGAAATGCAAAACTGCTGTGAAAAGCATTTGCTAAACACTGGAAGAAAGGGCCAAAAACAAAAATAACTTGCCGGAAAGGCGTTACAAGCAATTTTCCAAATGCAGTGGTACGGACTCTGCGGCTTTTGAATTGTGGCCTATGAAATGCAAAACGGCTGTGAAACACTTGCTAAACACTGGAAGAAATGGCCAAAAACAAGAAGAATTTGCCGGAAAGGCTTTGCAAACAATTTTCCAAATGCAGTGGTACGGACTCTGCGGCTTTTGAATCGTGGCCTATGAAATGCAAAACTGCTGTGAAGCACTTGCTAAACACTGGAAGAAATGGCCCAAAACAAGAAGAATTTGCCGGAAAGGCTTTGCAAACAATTTTCCAAATGCAGTGGTACGGAACGCACGGCTTTTCAATCGTGGCCTATGTAATGCAAAGCTGCTGTGAAAAGCACTTGCTAAACACTGGGAGAAATGGCCAACAAGAAGAAGAATTTGCCGGAAAGGCTTTACAAACAATTTTCCAAATGCAGTGGTACGGAACGCACGGCTTTCGAATTATGGCCTTTGGATTGCAAAACTGCTGTGAAGCACTTGCTGAACGCTGGACGAAATGTCCAAAAAAAGAAAAATTTGCCGGAAAGGCTTTACAAGCAATTTTCCAAACGCAGTGGTACGGACTGTGCGGCTTTTGAATCGTGGCCTGGTGACAGCAATGCCGCTCACTGATGGAGGACGCTGCCGACCATAAAACGATTGTTGTTACGTCTTGGGCAGTAAATTTTGCAATGTCTGTTGCTTAGGATGAAGAATGAAGAGTTGCAAGAGAATGCCGGCAGTGATGGTGACCATTTAGTCTCGCATGTGCCGGAAGCAGTTTTCACAGAAACCCCCCTTCCCCCCATACAATGGCTAAGCTTGGTTCAACAAGAGCGACACGGAATGCTGGGCTTGCTGCTCCAATTGCGGTATCTGCTTATTGTAACCTTTGTAATTCCCAAAAGCCCGGACCAAGGTCCGCGCTTGCTTTGCCGAGAAAACCGTGGTCCGCGGTAGGTTTGTCGGTTAAATGCTCGGGTCCGCGCAGGTCCGCTCCGGTTTGGTCGAGAAAACTATGGTCTGCAGTAGACTTCTTAGCCAAATGCTCAGCTCCGTGCAGGTCCGCGCTTGCTTTGCCGCGAAAACCGGTCCGTGCTGGGTTTCTGGGCTAAATGCTCGTGTTCCACAGCTGAAAAGACCGTGCGAACGGTTTCTGAGCTAAAGGCTTGGGTCCGCGCAGGTCCGCCCCGGGTTTGCCAACAAAACCGCAGGTCCGCGCCGGTTTTGCCGAGAAAACCGTGCTAGGTTTCTGAGCTACATGCTTGCGCCCGCGCACGTCCGCGCTGGGTTTGCCGAGAAAACCGTGCCAGGTTTCTGAGCTAAATGCTTGGGTTCGCGCCGGTTTTGCCAAGAAAACCGTGCCAGGTTTCTGAGCTAAATGCTTGGGTCCGCGCAGGTCCGCGCCGGGTTTGCCGAGAAAATCGTGCTAGGTCTCTGTGGTTGGCCGGTAGCTTTGAGGTCTGCAGTGCTCGGCTTTTAGGGCCTGAGGGCTCAGCAGTCTGAAGTCATCCCCTCGCTCTGCTCCCTAAACCTCGACACCCGAGCGGGCAGTCCAAGCTTCCAAGCCATGGGGTCTTTAGCCGCAAATCCTAGGGCCTTAGGGCTCAGCAGTTGAAGTCATCCCCTCAGCTCTGCTCCCTAAACCTTGAAAGCCGAGCGGGCAGTCCAAGCTACCAAGACCAAGCCATTTGGGGCAGTAGCCGCCAGGATTCTGCACGGCTACCATGGAGGCCGTCTTGTTGCGGAGACGGGTTTGCAGTTCTGGGCAGAGTGCTTTTTGCGGTGCAAGCTCGCGCGGGGGAGAGCTTTTTTGTGCTGGGTTTTTTCTGTAAGCAAAGGTTTGCGCTGTATGCTTTGCATTTTTACTGTGGTGAGTGAAGAAGCAAAAGGTTTGTGCTGTATGGTTTGCAGTTTCAGTAAGGCAAATGAGTGGGCGTGCAGCTCTCTGCGCAGGTGTTGGCGAGAGCGCCATGTCGTTGCACAGCCGGGTTCGCAGCTCGAATGCGTTTGCCTTGCTCTGGGAGGTGTGTGCACGTGTGTACGTGTGTGCAAAGCCTTGTGGACGAGCGTTTGGGCTCCGGCTCCGGCTCACCTTGCTTAGTAGGCGCTTTCCCCTCTCTTTGCAGCTGCCATGGACGCTAACGCTGCGCCCAGCTTGGGGGACAGACTCGCTGCTCTCAAGGCCGATCGGGCCCGCTTGCTGCGTGAAAAAGCTGAAAAAAGCAAAGAAATCCGAACAACTCAAAAGCGCTTCAAGAGATTGAAGAAGGCGGCCGCGAAGTTGAGCCAGGCAGACTTGGTGGAGTTGCTCCGTGTCAAGGAAGCGCAGGTTCGTCAAGCAGCTCCGAAGGCCAAGGCCGCAGCGGCGCCTCCGCTTTGAAGCCTGCGCCTTCTTCCTTGTCCGACTGAGCAGGGGTACGCCTGTGCAACCGGCGGCGTTCACAAAGGAATGTCAGTGGCTGGTGGTACAGGCGTAGTGCCGTTTCACACCTGTGTGTTTCCAAGTGTTTCAAGGCCTCGAAGAGGCTTGGTGCGGCGTTCCATTCGCTACGAATGCAGGTCGCCGTTTTCTTGGCTTGTCTCACCGTCTCGCGTTGCCCACGAGTGTGTACAGAACGGACCTCGTGAAACGAGCAGGATGGTGTTATGAGGGCCCAAAACAAGGGCCGTAAACGCTTCCTGGAATGGGTGTTGCAGGCTGGCCCTCCAGCGAAGAAGATTTTCGTTTCCTGCCCACCATCTTCCAATGTGGTGTCGTTTGGTTCGCAAGGGGTCGCAAGAAAGTGCTATGGCAAGCATGAGGCAACGCTACGTGCGCGTTCAAGAGTGTGTTAGCTGCGACAAGTTGGCTATCTTGTTTTTTGATTTCGGTTTTCGTTGGAAACACATCCACATGCACTCGCCGCGCGGTCTTTTCGCTGCTGCTGTGCTCGGCATTTGCTTGGCCAGCGTGAACTCATTGGAAGCACAGCATGTACGGCAACAGGCGCCCAGGTCCTTGCTGCCTGATGTTACTGATGTTCGTATGTAGCACGTAGCGGCTAGCTGGCTGATCTCTTCCGACATTTTGTGCCGTGCCAGTATGGATGACATTGACGAGCTGGTGCCGTTGCCGTGTCTCGTTCAATCGGTGTCAAGCTGTTTTTTGTGGGTGCGTTGTGAAAGGCTTCAAATGCGGAAGCTGCAGGCTTTGCAGTTCATGCTTCTTGTGGAACGGGTCTTGTCCTGAATCATGGTTGCAGAGTTGCAGCCTGGTGTCTAGTTTGCGCGCCATGCCAGAAAACTGATGGAAATTGCTGTGCGCACTAAACAACAAAACAAAGTGCCCGGTCTTAAACCCCAGCATTCCCTACGATCGCAATCGAGGTGTGTGTCTTTGGTGTAGCCCGAAGTCACCTCACAGCCAGTGTGCTCTTTCGCTGAGAACTGATAGTTGCCGTCGCCGTAGGTGTTTGCCTGGCGTGTCGTTGTGGCGATTCCTGGGAAGGAGCGATCTACAAAACGCAAGCAAAGCAGCTGCCAACTTTCGATGCAGCTCTTGAACATCTGAAAGACGACCAAGTCCAGCAGCTGTCTGACATGCACGTGCAAATTATGCAAGAGAACCAACGGCAAGCCGAGGTTCGGACCAGTAACGGAATTTGTAGTACGGTTGCAATATGGCTGCTGCGCGTGTTCGAAGGTGTCTACAGCTCCTTGTGGAGGTTGCGTGAAAGACTTTGCGCAAGCGTGTCCTGAGGCGTTCAAAACCCCCTCGAGCCTCTTGCCTCAGTCTGTTCCGCATATACATCAGGAAGCGGTTGCCATGTGTTTCCATTGTCGAGGGCTTTCGCTTCGATGGACAAGCTGCTTGCCGGGCCTTCGACTACGAGGCGGAAAGCGTTGCCGAAGCCGTGTTTTGTGTTTACCTGTCGTGCATGGCGAAAGCTCGCAGTGCGGCTTTCTGATTGTTTCCGTGTGGATTTGTTTGTCATCGAGTCGCATCTTTCTGTCTTTCGGTGGCTCAGTGCTCGGCTCGGTGCAGATTGGTTCCGGCTCAGCTGTGCTGATGTGTGAAGGAGATGTCGCTCGCGAAACGCTTGAAGCCCGCTCCAGTTGCGACTTTCGTGTTGTCAAGACTTGTAATATCAGCCGGGCGCCATTGATGCCATTCTTTGGCAGCAGATGTTTTGCTTCAAGATGTCACTCGCGCCTCTGTGCCGGAATCGTGGCGTTGTAGCAGACTCTCCAGACTCCAGACTCTAGACTAGACACATAAACTGTTGGACCTATGCTGGTGCTTGCAAACTGTTGTTCCATCGTTGCAACTCCACGGTTGTGTTTCTGAGATTCGGGCTTGTCTGACGAATGCTGGTGCAGCTTCATCGTCGTTGGAGTGCTGGACAGGGCGGAGCGAAGCGCAGCACCTTAAGCGTCTCGTGTCACACAAAATGTACCGTAAGTGTGCGAAGCATTTGTGTAGTTGCAGCTTGTGGCTCCGGATCTGCTCAGAGCCTAGAGCTAGATCCCCTCGCTAGGCCAGTAAAGACCGTCGGCACATGCACATCCCTCGAACAAAAAGAGCGTGTGCGCACCTGCGTCTCAGAAGTGTCACGGCGTCCATGGCCTGGAGGGTGGGTAGTTTGTATACATGTCGAGACTAGAGACGGACCATGTCCAAGGTGGTTTGTTCGGTCGGTCGAACCAGGCCTTGTGTGTTAGTTGGCGCATGCTTGCATGCAGGGTTGCACGCTTATGACTTGTGCCAGCTGCTGGCTGCTAGGCTGCCAGTCACAGCCTTTGCCCAGTGCTTGTGTGCAATTTGATTTGCACACCCCGCCACTCAACAACCAAGTGCATGCGGCGAACACTCTCATGCATGCAACCGCATCGTGTGTTGATGTGCATCAGTCCACGTCTTACAGCAGCAAGTGTTGTGTGGCGTGCTGTCACCCAAGTGGCGGATTAGGGAAGTGGATGCGGGGTGAACGCTTGGTGGGCACGAAGTGGGATCCGGGAAGGCCTTATTGCAGTTGCATGCGTGACATGTGTGCTTGCTACGTGGACGGGAGCGGCATGACTCACTTTATAAGCGTCTCGTTGTTACATAAGAGCGTGAGAGGTCTTGGAGCCGGGTGCACCCGAAGCATGCGTCCCAGTGAGATCTGAATGTACTTCTGCTTGGTTTGTCTCGCGTGCTGCTTGTTGTGCATGCGCTCTTGTGCCACGACAGCATTTATATGCATGCCCAAACCTCAAGCTGTGGTCTGGTTAGAGTTTAGAGTTTGCAAAGGCTGGTGCTTTGTGTTGCAACCGATGCGTCGACCATGGTTTTGCATAGTTTCTTCTTTTCGCCTGGTTGCACGCGTGCACCGAAGTGAGATCTGCGTACTCACGTTGGAGTGTTGTGCCTTTTGTCATTGGCCCGTACTGTGACATAAACCCTCTCTGCCCTCTCTATCTGCACACATATCTTTGCATGTACAGTTGCAGCAGAGCTCTAGAGAAGTGTTGGTCGTGGGTCGACCTCGTGGTCAACTGCTGCTGAAGTGTTCCGATAAGTTCCCTTTCGCCCGCCCAGAAAAAGTGGACTGCCGTCCCCCTCTTGCGGCGTGGTGTGTGTTTGTTTCTGCACTTGAGCAGTGCAGTCCCAGCGAAAGATTTAGTTTAGTGCGCAGGGTTTGAGTAGGTTGTGTTGCGCTAGATTGAGAAGGGCACATCGTGTAGACTTGACTCTGAGACGTTGCTTCGTTCTAGTGCGATTCCGACCCATGTGTTTGTTTCCACACTCCACAACTCTCGAAACTAAGGTTGCGGAAAGGATTACGCGCGCCAGGTCTAAGTGCGTCAGGTTTCAGGGGGACGCGTGCGCCTCCCTAGTTGTTGTGCCGTGCTTTCGTTGTCGAGACTTTGTTCTCGGGACTACCGACCGCCGTTAGCAAAACATATCAAAGAGTGTTTCGGTGTGCAGGGCTGGGTTTTTCGCTTATTTGGGTTGCCCAAGTGATCTCGGCTGCTTTCTTGTCGCGGCTTCTTGACGGCGCAGCAGAATCCTGGAAGGTCCGGATGGTTTGCTGGCATGTATGCTGCATGTGCAGCCAGCCGTCGTGCGTGTGTGCCTAAGTGCGTGTTGAGTGGGAGTGTAAAGTTAGCGGCTAGCGGTAGCGGTCAGCGATCGCCGGTGCCTTAGCGTGCGGCATGACGGCGTGTGCGGTTTGCGATTCAGACGTAAGTGTATGGCAATGTGTCTTTCTGGTACCTCGCATGATGTGCCGCGTGTTGCTACATTCTTTCCCACTCGCAAACAATTGCTCTCGAAAAACAACACTTCCACAACACTTCCTGCAGTATTGACTAGCAGTGCGGTAATTGGCAGTAGTGCAGCAATTGGCAGTGTAGTGTGGTAATTGGCAGTAGTGCACTCATTGGGAGTAGTGCAGCAATGGCCAGTATCAGCTGGCATCAGTAAGTTTCATCCAGCAATATCATCCAACATCAGCAAGTTTCGGCCAGTTTCAGGCAGTGTCAGCTGGCTTTGCACGGTTTTGGGTTTTGCTTGTGCTCTTGGCGATTATTGGAAAATTTCGATTCCGGTTGGGAAAGAGCCCAAATGACACCGCCGGAGATTGAGCCCGCGACCCTGCCCAATACGCCGTACTGAACGGCCGCCCTCAATTTCCTCTAGTCGCCCATAGCTCAGCGGGCAGGGGGATTGTTGTTGTTGTTGTTTCATGACACGCTGTGGTCAGACCCTGTCCGACTGACGTCTCCCCTCCACTTCCGAAGTGGGTGCAAAGCCTGCAGCTTGGAGTGCTTATAGTTTATAGTGCTAGTGACTGCTAGTGCGGTGTAGCATCTCCGAAGGCTTGTCGGGCAGTCGTTGCGTTGCAGGGGTGATGTGGCTTCAAGAAATCCGCAATGCTTAAGTAGCTATTTACAATTCTACAACAAGCTCCAGTCAGCAATCCAGCGTTGTTGTCTGCAGTCTTGCACGATACTCTCGCTGCTTGTTGCGTGTGGCCAGGGCCCGTGCCAGGAACTGGCGTATATAGCCGATTTCACCATGGAAGAGAAAGAGGAGTTTGAGGAAGTTTGCAAGGTGTGTTGGTGCTATCTACAAGTCTATGAGTCGATATGATAGCTGGGGCTGAGGATTGGGCTCGCAGTGTGCAGGTTTGTTTCTGCAAGCCTGCGCGTGGGAATGGAAAATCAGGAGTGGCGCAGAACACGCCTCTTGCTTCTGCGACTGTTTCGGCGGAGCCACGATCAAGCGACGTGGGCAAAGGTAGCGACAATGGCCCGATTGCATAGGTGAAGGCCTGTGACTGACTTGTGAAGTGGTGGCCTGCCTTTACAGTTCTGTTTGGGTGGAGCAGCCAGCTGCTGCTACCGAAAGAGTGATGTCTGTGCGGAGGCCACGAGTCGACGTTTGCGCAACAAGTTTGTTTCTCATGCCGCAGCGCATTTCCTGATGTTCACTCCTACTCCGACTGCTGCTACTGAACTACTGCTCCTGCTCCTGCGCCTCCTCCGGCTACTGATGCTACTGCTGCTGCTGCGGCTGGTTGTGTCACAGCTGCTGGCTGCTTGAAATTCCCGCCCGCCGGCCTGCTCCAGATGGGAGCACGCTGCACGCGTGCTGAGTTTGCTGGCGGCGATGCTGCGTGTGCAGCCAGCATCAGCTAGCTGCAGTCTGTCGTGCACACGTCTGCGAGACGCGACTGCTAGTGAGCTACTGCGGCTAGTGGGTTTGTGATGCCTTCCCCTTGTGGCCCAGGCAGCTAGGGTGGACCTGTGCGCGCCGCGCGCCGCCTGCCTGTGACCAGTGAACAGCCATGCGTGAGAGTTTTGCCTGGCTGCCAGTGTCTTGTGTTGAACCCCTTTCTCACAGTTGCCCCCGCCCACCCGCGCTGTATGGGTTGCCGCCACATATTTGTGCCATGGGCACTATTGAAAGCGTCTGGCAGATGAGACTGTCTATCGGTCGGTGTGTGCGTGTGTATGTGTGTGTGTGTGTGTGCCCGAGTGCACTTCTTTTACGGATGGGGGTTGATCCCCGGCACCGTTGTTGTGTGCGGCATGTTGTGCACCCAGGCACCGCGCCCAATGTCATGCTAGGCTAGGTTTGTGTGCGGTAGGGTTGCAAGGCTTGCAGTGGGGATCGTGTGCTTCCTGCTAGCTTTGCCCGATCACCGCAACCCTGCATAATGTGGTGGAGAGCTTGCTGACCCTCTTTGAGGAGGGCCGCTCGAAGATCGAGACTCTCGCTAGCTTTCGCCATTGCATGAAACTCGTCGCGATCTCCACCATCTCAGCGGTTGAACAGTGAGGAGAATTACGTGTGTGCTTGCAAACGATTGTGCTGATACTCCAGTGTGAAGGCTTCGTCGGCGTGATGTTAAGTACGCCAGCTAACAGCGGTACTTCCCGGCATTTGGGCTCATAGTTCGCAGCTCTCGCCAGGAAAATCCTGTGTTTCTTGGTCTGTCTCTGTGTCTGATTGCCGTGGTCGTTTCAATAGAGCATGTTGCGCTGGGTGCTTGTGTGGTTCTTGCCGATGGTTTATGCGGATGTGTTGGAGGTGTGACCCTTTGGCAAACCAGTTCGCTGCCTGATATTTGCGCGGTGGACGCAGGAAGCCGTGAACACTCTCAAGAAGCAGCATCCAGAGGCTTGGCCGTGTGAGTGTGTGTGTGTGTGTGTTTTTATCATGCAGAAAGGAACGGCGTGTCAGTGAGTTGCAGTCAGGTTGCCGTGTGGACTCTGCACCAGTTGACCAAGGACCAATCGGCATGTTTCTGTCGAATTATGGGTGTTGTCCGTCAGGGAGATTGACTGATTGACTCTGCGTAGAAAGGAGAGCCAGGGAAAGCTTTGAAGGCACACTGCGCCCAGTCTCTACACTCTACACCTTTTGCTCGTCCCGCTGCCACTTCTTTGCTATAGGGCGAGGGGAGCGAAGCGCCTGAAGCGTCTCGTATCGGAATGTTCGGGAGGGGGGTCAAAAAACAGTTTAACAAGGATCAACAAAAAATTAGGAAGGATCAAAAAAATTTAGAAAGGGTCAAAAACAAATTTAGCGTTTACGAGGTAAATTGCGTATTTCCTCGCTTGACAGCCTTCGGCTTCTGGGCTCTTGGCTTCTGTGCTGCCTGGCTCCGCGGCTTTTTTTGGCTTCTGGGCTCCGCTAGCTTTCTGGCTTCTCGGCTTCTTGGGTTCCTGGCTTCTTGGCTTCCGGGCGGCTTGGCTTCTTGGCTGCTTGGCTTCCTGGCTTCTTGGCTTCCGGGCGGCTTGGCTTCTTGGCTTCTTGGCTTCTTGGCTGCTTGGCTTCTTGGCTTCTAGGCTTCCTTGCCGGCTTCTTAGCTTCTTGGCTTCTCGGGTTCTTGGCTTCTTGGCTTCGGTACGCTCCGCTTTCTACTGCTTTCTTGGCTTGTTGTTTTTGCGTTCGTTTTCTGTCTTGTTGTGCTTCTTGCTTGTATATACACACGTACACGCCTACATGCATACACACCGACCTGCACTTGTTCTTGCTTACGCTCTGCTTTTCTGTTTGTTAGTCTTCGCATGTGCTTTTCCATTGTCGTACTACGTTCCTCAAAATTGTAAAAACGCCAATAATACTACAAACTCTTGTCTCCTTTTAGTATTGTGTCTATTCTCTCCCTCAGTTCTAGTATTATGATTTGATTACAAAAAATGGTTTTGTTCATACTGTTTCATAGTCTGTTAGTGATATTACAATCATGTGATTTGTTTGTTATCATCTTTTCCCATGAGTATCATTATGAATATTCTGAGTAGTGTTGTTACTGGTAGCAGTATACACACATACATACATAAATGAATAAATGTATATCTATATGTATATATATATATAGCTATACACATATCTGTGGTAAGCCCGTGTATATATACAATAATAGAAACCATAGACCAGCATGGAACACAACTACAGTATCTCCGTCGCGCAAACCTTAGATCTCCGAGCTGCCACTGGTAGGGGAGGCGCCGTGGTAGGAAGGGTGGGTGGCAGCGACGAGCTGGGGCCGGCCACGCGGAGATATTGGAATAGCACTTGCCGTTGTTTGCAGCAACTCTCCAATCCCTAGATTTTTTGTTGATCCTTCCTAAATTTTTTTTGATCCGTTCAGCCTAACTTTGTGATTGATCCTTTTTAAATTTTTTTAATCCTCCACCCGAATGTTCCATAAGTGTGCGAAGCATATGTATAGATATAGTTGCGGATCTTGGCTCTGGCTCTGCCCAGAGCCTAATTGAGCAACTTTCAGGTAGGTCGATCACTTAGCTGTAGGCCTGTAGGCTTTCGTTTGAGACCACTGCCGCCCCAAGCGCCTCCAGGAAGTTTGTAGGGAAAGACTGTGAGCAAAGGGGTCGTGCACCCCTCGAACAAAAGATCGTGTGCGCAGATGTTGTGACTTGTCATGAAGTTCATGGGCAGGTAGTTTGTGCATGGAAAGACTAGAGACCGCTTGGTGAAGCGAGGATGGTTGGCAGCAGTTCGCAGTCGAACAAGATGACAGGATGTTTTGGCGAGAACCGGAGTGGATGTCTGCGTTCGTGTCGCACTCTCAGACTCTGACAAGTTTGCCCAGCACGTTGACGTGATGCACGCGTGTATCCCTCATACTAAATACCGAGGACGTTTCGCAGGCATGTCCGGAAGGCCCAGCTGCATCGGCCAGGTCCACGCAAGCTGCCTTTGACAAGCATCACGATGTGCAGGTTGGTCAGAAATCTCACCTGGCAGCACGTGTTTAGCGCCGCCGTGGCATCAGCCTACGCGGAGTTGCCCGAAGCAGCTATCGCTTGGTGCAGCGATCGCTGTCATTGAAGCAACCGTACTTGCTGAAGTCTGTGCAATTGTTAGCAGGTGGGCTGTCGGCAAGAGAAAAACTTGGTGCGACGGAATGGTTTGTAGGAAGATGCGCGTGACGACTTGTGCTTGTTTGCAGACGTTGCAACCGGGTGCAGTCTCAGTTGGCCTTGCTCTCGAGCTGCATCCGAGCCGGCCCCAACTGACTGGCCGGCTCCAGCATTGTCATGCTCGCCTGACTTCGGTGCCGCGTAGGACTGTAGGAAGTGGTCCTTCGTTGCGTGTTGTGCCGCCTGCAAGCTTGCAAGGTGTGTCGTGCCCGACAGGTGAGTTCTCAGTTGGTGTTGTGAAAGTGCAAAGGCGTGTGCCGTTCTGTGATGCGTTTTCACACGTTCAGGTTGGGAGCTGGGTAAACTGGGGCATTGTGAGGACGTCTCGCCCTGTTGCACGTGAAATAGGAGGATTCAAGATCTTGTCTTCCGTGTCTAGGCTCCTGCAGGATACACCGGGCAGTGCCCAGTCCGGATGAAGTTGGCGATGTTGAGCGCTCGCGACAAAGCAGCCGTTGCTCAGAGGTGTCATGTATTCTGGCCATGCCGTGTCCGTTGAAGTTCGAAGTCGATGAGGTAAGTGCTGTGATGATACCGTGCAACCAAGCTTGCCCGGACTCGACAGTCTTGTTGCAGGAGTGCCTGCAGCGCAGAGGTGTAACACAAAAAGGGTGTATGTAGAGAAGGGTTGCTCACATGTCAAGTTCTCGAGCCAAAATGTTAGACCTTGTTTGCTAAATTCTGCGGGCTTCGCGGAGTGCCAAGCTGTGCGGAGCGAAGCGGAGCACATAAGTCGTCTCGGTGTTCGTTTCGCATCTGCAGCTACAAATATGGTGATCCGATTGGAAAACCGATGGCTGCTTAAGGCTTAAGCCCGAAGCGTTGGCTGTGGCGGTCGGCAGCAGTCCTTGGCGCGCCGGGTAACCAAACCCGCACTACACGCCGCGATCGTACGACGTATGATTGATGTAGGACCGTAGGACTTGTCGGTGTCGGATGTAGCCGCTGGTTGGGCTGCGCTTTGTCGTGTGCATGTCCGAAGGAAAGTCAAGTGTATGTGTGTGTTTGTTGAGTTTAGGCACGTTTGCAGTCGCATATTGCGTGACGTGCGTGCTTGCTAAAGTTGTCCGTGTGCCACTGTGTGCTAAGTGCTCTTGCTCGAGTGCCTGCAGGGCTGTCGGACGGCATACTTGTTTTCCCATCCTCCCGCCCTGCGTCTGCAGAGTCGCTTTCTCAGCGTCGGAGCTGGTTTTTTTTTGTTTGTTTGAGAGTAGCTCACCTCTGTGCCGGTTCACCGTGTGAACAAGCGTGGGAGTCCACTGCAAGGGTGCCTGGTCTTCGGCTTTCGGTTGCGGTTGGGTTTGCTGGTCTTGTCCTGGGGGTTTGGTTGGTTGCTTGTTCGGGTTCCTTGGCGGCACGGTAGGATGCCTGTGCGAACGTGTGTGTGTGTGTGTGTGCTGCTAAACTTATTCCACTTTCAAAACATTTGTTCAGTGGATATTCTCGCTGGAACTCTACTGCCGGTCGACCGCTTGCAAGCGCTGTACACTGTACACATTGTGTAAGGTATGCCACAGCTCTGTCGCAAAGAGGATTACGAACGCTGCAGATGTCTGACTCTGCGCCTGCCGCGTGAAGTTGTGCTGGCGCGACCTTGGCGATTGTGGCCTTCGATCCTTTTGCTGTGTGGAGGATGTTGTTCTCAGTTGGAGCACTGTCCTCTTTGCTTGCAGTTGCAAGGCATGTGTCTGTGGCCGCTACTCCTGCCCACTTCCTGATCATCAGCGGCGTGACGGCAGTTGATGAGACTTGCTTGGCAGGGTCTGCAGCAGGTGTGTGGCTGGAATCCTGCGAGAAGGCAGTGGCTGGCATGAGTGGGGAGGAGATCTGGAGCTTAGCGACAGATGGGAGCTTGGTGCACGCGGGGTCGAAGACATGTCTTAGCCCGCAAGGAACAGGTGCTGCTGGTGTGCCTCTAACGCTGGTGTCGTGCGACGCAGCTGGCGGCGTGGCGAAGTGGGAGCTGCAAGGGAACGGTCAGGTCAAGATGGCGCAGAGCAGCATGTGTATCAGCCAGGTCGGGCCAAGTGGTGCTGCGGTCAACGTGGCCGCTTCAGCTTCAGTGTCTGCAAGCTCGACGTTAGATCCCAGCCATGGGGCAGCCCTGGCCATTGACGGGGTGGCGTCCACGTACTGGGTTTCTAAGATGGACGAGGCAGATGCCGTCAGCCTTCTCCTTGACTTTGGAGAGCCCGTGCATGGATCCATCTTGGAGCTCGACTTCGAATTCGCGCCGTCCGCGTTTTCAGTGCAGGCTGCTGAGCCCTCGTCGGAGAATTGGTTGCAAATATTCGCCACAGACTCGAACGCTTTGAAGCATGTGAAGATTCCCCTCGCAACGGCCAAGCCCATGTCGGCAATCAGATTCATTATGAAGGAAGCCCATCCGACTCTCGGGGCAATGAACGGCCACAAGCTTGTTGGGGTCCGTTCTATCAGGCTGCTGACGCGGATGCTGCAGCCGGTCCTGGAGCCATGTGCAGTCGCGGCGAAAAGCCACGATGCAAGAGACAAGTTTTTCACCGTTGCAGTGAGTGGTTTCGACCCGCAAGCTGGTGCTGCTTTGGCAGCCGAGATGCCTGCGCTGGAGTCGGCAGATGCGGCGTTATCGTCTATCGTTGTGGAGCTCGCGAAGGCTTTGCCTGCGATCAGCTCCTGCAAGCCTGCCGGCCCTGTCTCCCTTCGTGCCAATGCCACGATCCAGAGCGTTCAGCGACACCGCGCAGTCGGCGACATGGCATTGGACCTGGGCCAGGAAGCAGCCTTGCTGGAGGAAGCCAGGGGCACCATTGTCGCAGCGCGTGGGCTGCTGGCTTCGTCGTGATCCTGGCCATGACAGACAGTGAACAATTGGGCGTTGGCGTCAAGCAGCAGAGCTCGTCGGCGCTCCCAACGGAGCTTCGTTGTAACGTGCTGTACTGAAATGATAGCTGACTTTTGCCAGTTGGTACAGATCGCAGACATCTCTAGACTGTGGCCTGGTCAGGCCTGCTTGCAAGGAGGATTCCGGACTAGAAAGAGAATGTGTCTTGGACATGAATGCATAACAAAGCTGGTCTTGAAGCTTTCGAGTATCTGAATCACTTGACTCTTGGTGCAGCTTGTTCCTATGCTGGCTCTTCGTGCTTCTACGCTGGGGTGTGTCTTGGCCTATCAGCTGGTGCGACCGTCAGGCCATGCGGCTTCTATTGTGCAGTGCTGGTATATGTGTTTTTTTTGCAGAGGTGTTGAATCGCGCAGCGCGTGCAAATGTCCGCGTCACGGCAGAGGGTCATCCTGCGAGTTCCGGACTCTTGGAAATCCAGACCAGCTCCGGGTCATATGGATCTGTTTGCGGATTGAATGCCGAAGCAGCAAGTGTGGCCTGCAGGCAGTTGGGCTTTGAGTTCGGTGTGCAGAGCCCATCTCCATGCGGCCAGTATGGAGGAGGGAGCTGGTGTGGGGCAGCAGGATCACCTGTCGCTGTGAAGGGCTTGAAGTGCTTGGGAACAGAAATGAGTGTTGATGAGTGCAGCTCAGAAGTTGTAGATGAGGCATGTCTGAGCCACGGCAGTGATGCTGTCATCTTCTGCGGCACAAGCTCTGTGGGGGCTTTCCGAGACGGCGAGCTTCGGTTGGTTGGATCAACAGGTGCACCAGCCCTGCCCAAAGAGGCCGGACGCCTGGAAGCGTTTCTGGTCGCCGCTCAAGCTTGGGCTCCGGTGTGCAAGCTTGGATTCACGAGTGGATCGGCTTCAGTTGCTTGCAAGCAGATGGGCTACGCAGGGGCAGCAGGCTTCGCAGGTTGCCGATCCCAAGAAGCCTGTGGAGGAGTGGCGCCGCAGCTGGCAGACTTGGCTTGCGCCGGTTCAGAGACCAGTGTGCTGCAGTGCCCTATGTCAATCGGGGACGACGTGTTCTGTGCGCCAGAGGAGGCCGTGCTTTTGACTTGTTCTGGACATGGTGATCCGATTGGAAGACCGATGGCTGCTTAAGCCCGAATCGTTGGCTGTGGCGGTCGGCCGCAGTCCTTGGCGCGCCGAACAACCAACGTTGCCGTTGAGGAGCGAACTAAAGTAAAGCAACCCGCACTACACACCGCGATCGTACGAGGTATGATTGATGTAGGACCGTAGGACTCGTCGGTGTCGGATGTAGCCGCTTTTTTCTTTGTCGTGTGCATGTCTGAAGGAAAGTCAAGTGTATGTGTGTGTGTTGAGTTTAGGCACGTTTGCAGTCGCATATTGCGTGACGTGCGTGCTTGCTAAAGTTGTCCGTGTGCCACTGTGTGCTAAGTGTTCTTGCTCCAGCCTGTCGGACGGCATACTTGTTTTCCCATCCTCCCGCCCTGCGTCTGCAGGGGTAGTGGTTGCAGCTGAGTCGCTTTCTCAGCATCGGAGCTGGCTGATGTCTTCTTTGTTTCAGAGTAGCTCATCTCTGTGCCGGTTCACCGTGTGAACAAGCGTGGGAGTCCACTGCAAGGGTGCCTGGTCTTCGGCTCTCGGTTGCGGTTGGGTTTGCTGGTCTTGTCCTGGGGGTTTGGTTGGTTGCTTGTTCGGGTTCCTTGGCGGCACGGTAGGATCCTTGTGCGAACGTGTGTGTGTGTGTGTGCTGCTAAACTTATTCCACTTTCAAAACACATGTTCAGTGGATATTCTCGCTAGAACTCTACTGCCGGTCGACCGCTTGCAAGCGCTGTGCACTGTACACATTGTGTAAGGTATGCCACAGCTCTGTCGCGAAGAGGATTACGAACGCTGCAGATGTCTGACTCTGCGCCTGCCGCGTGAAGTTGTGCTGGCGCGACCTTGGCGATTGTGGCCTTCGATCCTTTTGCTGTGTGGAGGATGTTGTTCTCAGTTGGAGCACTGTCCTCTTTGCTTGCAGTTGCAAGGCATGTGTCTGTGGCCGCTACTCCTGCCCACTTCCTGATCATCAGCGGCGTGACGGCAGTTGATGAGACTTGCTTGGCAGGGTCTGCAGCAGGTGTGCGGCTCGAATCCTGCGAGAAGGCAGTGGCTGGCATGAGTGGGGAGGAGATCTGGAGCTTAGCGACAGATGGGAGCTTGGTGCACGCGGGGTCGAAGACATGTCTTAGCCCGCAAGGAACAGGTGCTGCTGGTGTGCCTCTAACGCTGGTGTCGTGCGACGCAGCTGGCGGCGTGGCGAAGTGGGAGCTGCAAGGGAACGGTCAGGTCAAGATGGGGCAGAGCAGCATGTGTATCAGCCAGGTCGGGCCAAGTGGTGCTGCGGTCAACGTGGCCGCTTCAGCTTCAGTGTCTGCAAGCTCGACGTTAGATCCCAGCCATGGGGCAGCCCTGGCCATTGACGGGGTGGCGTCCACGTACTGGGTTTCTAAGATGGACGAGGCAGATGCCGTCAGCCTTCTCCTTGACTTTGGAGAGCCCGTGCATGGATCCATCTTGGAGCTCGACTTCGAATTCGTGCCGTCCGCGTTTTCAGTGCAGGCTGAAGAGCCCTCGTCGGAGAATTGGTTGCAAATATTCGCCACAGACTCGAACGCTTTGAAGCATGTGAAGATTCCCCTCGCAACGGCCAAGCCCATGTCGGCAATCAGACTCATTATGAAGGAAGCCCATCCGACTCTCGGGGCAATGAACGGCCACAAGCTTGTTGGGGTCCGTTCTATCAGGCTGCTGACGCGGATGCTGCAGCCGGTCCTGGAGCCATGTGCAGTCGCGGCGAAAAGCCACGATGCAAGAGACAAGTTTTTCACCGTTGCAGTGAGTGGTTTCGACCCGCAAGCTGGTGCTGCTTTGGCAGCCGAGATGCCTGCGCTGGAGTCGGCAGATGCGGCGTTATCGTCTATCGTTGTGGAGCTCGCGAAGGCTTTGCCTGCGATCAGCTCCTGCAAGCCTGCCGGCCCTGTCTCCCTTCGTGCCAATGGCACGATCCAGAGCGTTCAGCGACACCGCGCAGTCGGCGACATGGCATTGGACCTGGGCCAGGAAGCAGCCTTGCTGGAGGAAGCCAGGGGCACCATTGTCGCAGCGCGTGGGCTGCTGGCTTCGTCGTGATCCTGGCCATGACAGACAGTGAACAATTGGGCGTTGGCGTCAAGCAGCAGAGCTCGTCGGCGCTCCCAACGGGGCTTCGTTGTAACGTGCTGTACTGAAATGATAGCTGACTTTTGACAGTTGGTACAGATCGCAGACATGTCTAGACTGTGGCCTGGTCAGGCCTGCTTGCAAGGAGGATTCCGGACTAGAAAGAGAATGTGTCTTGGACATGGATGTATAACAAAGCTGGTCTTGAAGCTTTCGAGTATCTGAATCACTTGACTCTTGGTGCAGCTTGTTCCTATGCTTGCTCTTCGTGCTTCTACGCTGGGGTGTGTCTTGGCCTATCAGCTGGTGCGACCGTCAGGCCATGCGGCTTCTATTGTGCAGTGCTGGTTTATGTGTTTTTTTTTGCAGAGGTGTTGAATCGCGCAGCGCGTGCAAATGTCCGCGTCACGGCAGAGGGTCATCCTGCGAGTTCCGGACTCTTGGAAATCCAGACCAGCTCCGGGTCATATGGATCTGTTTGCGGATTGAATGCCGAAGCAGCAAGTGTGGCCTGCAGGCAGTTGGGCTTTGAGTTCGGTGTGCAAAGCCCATCTCCATGCGGCCAGTATGGAGGAGGGAGCTGGTGTGGGGCAGCAGGATCACCTGTCGCTGTGAAGGGCTTGAAGTGCTTGGGAACAGAAATGAGTGTTGATGAGTGCAGCTCAGAAGTTGTAGATGAGGCATGTCTGAGCCACGGCAGTGATGCTGTCATCTTCTGCGGCACAAGCTCTGTGGGGGCTTTCCGAGACGGCGAGCTTCGGTTGGTTGGATCAACAGGTGCACCAGCCCTGCCCAAAGAGGCCGGACGCCTGGAAGCGTTTCTGGTCGCCGTTCAAGCTTGGGCTCCGGTGTGCAGGCTTGGATTCACGAGTGGATCGGCTTCAGTTGCTTGCAAGCAGATGGGCTACGCAGGGGCAGCAGGCTTCGCAGGTTGCCGATCCCAAGAAGCCTGTGGAGGCGTGGCGCCGCAGCTGGCAGACTTGGCTTGCGCCGGTTCAGAGACCAGTGTGCTGCAGTGCCCTATGTCAATCGGGGACGACGTGTTCTGTGCGCCAGAGGAGTCCGTGCTTTTGACTTGTTCTGGACATGGTGATCCGATTGGAAGACCGATGGCTGCTTAAGCCCGAATCGTTGGCTGTGGCGGTCGGCCGCAGTCCTTGGCGCGCCGAACAACCAACGTTGCCGTTGAGGAGCGAACTAAAGTAAAGCAACCCGCACTACACACCGCGATCGTACGAGGTATGATTGATGTAGGACCGTAGGACTCGTCGGTGTCGGATGTAGCCGCTTTTTTCTTTGTCGTGTGCATGTCCGAAGGAAAGTCAAGTGTATGTGTGTGTGTGTGTGTGTGTGTGTTGAGTTTAGGCACGTTTGCAGTCGCATATTGCGTGACGTGCGTGCTTGCTAAAGTTGTCCGTGTGCCACTGTGTGCTAAGTGTTCTTGCTCGAGTGCCTGCAGCGCTGTCGGACGGCATACTTGTTTTCCCATCCTCCCGCCCTGCGTCTGCAGGGGTAGTGGTTGCAGCTGAGTCGCTTTCTCAGCATCGGAGCTGGCTGATGTTTTCTTTGTTTCAGAGTAGCTCATCTCTGTGCCGGTTCACCGTGTGAACAAGCGTGGGAGTCCACTGCAAGGGTGCCTGGTCTTCGGCTTTCGGTTGCGGTTGGGTTTGCTGGTCTTGTCCTGGGGGTTTGGTTGGTTGCTTGTTCGGGTTCCTTGGCGGCGCGGTAGGATCCCTGTGCGAATGTGTGTGTGTGTGTGTGTGTGTGCTGCTAAACTTATTCCACTTTCAACACACATGTTCAGTGGATATTCTCGCTGGAACTCTACTGCCGGTCGACCGCTTGCAAGCGCTGTACACTGTACACATTGTGTAAGGTATGCCACAGCTCTGTCGCGAAGAGGATTACGAACGCTGCAGATGTCTGACTCTGCGCCTGCCGCGTGAAGTTGTGCTGGCGCGACCTTGGCGATTGTGGCCTTCGATCCTTTTGCTGCGTGGAGGATGTTGTTCTCAATTGGAGCACTGTCCTCTTTGCTTGCAGTTGCAAGGCATGTGTCTGTGGCCGCTACTCCTGCCCACTTCCTGATCATCAGCGGCGTGGCGGCAGTTGATGAGACTTGCTTGGCAGGGTCTGCAGCAGGTGTGTGGCTCGAATCCTGCGAGAAGGCAGTGGCTGGCATGAGTGGGGAGGAGATCTGGAGCTTAGCGACAGATGGGAGCTTGGTGCACGCGGGGTCGAAGACATGTCTCAGCCCGCAAGGAACAGGTGCTGCTGGTGTGCCTCTAACGCTGGTGTCGTGCGACGCAGCTGGCGGCGTGGCGAAGTGGGAGCTGCAAGGGAACGGTCAGGTCAAGATGGGGCAGAGCAGCATGTGTATCAGCCAGGTCGGGCCAAGTGGTGCTGCGGTCAACGTGGCCGCTTCAGCTTCAGTGTCTGCAAGCTCGACGTTAGATCCCAGCCATGGGGCAGCCCTGGCCATTGACGGGGTGGCGTCCACGTACTGGGTTTCTAAGATGGACGAGGCAGATGCCGTCAGCCTTCTCCTTGACTTTGGAGAGCCCGTGCATGGATCCATCTTGGAGCTCGACTTCGAATTCGTGCCGTCCGCGTTTTCAGTGCAGGCTGCTGAGCCCTCGTCGGAGAAGTGGTTGCAAATATTCGCCACAGACTCGAACGCTTTGAAGCATGTGAAGATTCCCCTCGCTACGGCCAAGCCCATGTCGGCAATCAGACTCATTATGAAGGAAGCCCATCCGACTCTCGGGGCAATGAACGGCCACAAGCTTGTTGGGGTGCGTTCCATCAGGCTGCTGACGCGGATGCTGCAGCCGGTCCTGGAGCCATGTGCAGCAGCGGCGAAAAGCCACGATGCAAGAGACAAGTTTTTCACCGTTGCAGTGAGTGGTTTCGACCCGCAAGCTGGTGCTGCTTTGGCAGCCGAGATGCCTGCGCTGGAGTCGGCAGATGCGGCGTTATCGTCTATCGTTGTGGAGCTCGCGAAGGCTTTGCCTGCGATCAGCTCCTGCAAGCCTGCCGGCCCTGTCTCCCTTCGTGCCAATGCCACGATCCAGAGCGTTCAGCGACACCGCGCAGTCGGCGACATGGCATTGGACCTGGGCCAGGAAGCAGCCTTGCTGGAGGAAGCCAGGGGCACCATTGTCGCAGCGCGTGGGCTGCTGGCTTCGTCGTGATCCTGGCCATGACAGACAGTGAACAATTGGGCGTTGGCGTCAAGCACCAGAGCTCGTCGGCGCTCCCAACGGAGCTTCGTTGTAACGTGCTGTACTGAAATGATAGCTGACTTTTGACAGTTGGTACAGATCGCAGACATCTCTAGACTGTGGCCTGGTCAGGCCTGCTTGCAAGGAGGATTCCGGACTAGAAAGAGAATGTGTCTTGGACATGGATGTATAACAAAGCTGGTCTTGAAGCTTTCGAGTATCTGAATCACTTGACTCTTGGTGCAGCTTGTTCCTATGCTTGCTCTTCGTGCTTCTACGCTGGGGTGTGTCTTGGCCTATCAGCTGGTGCGACCGTCAGGCCATGCGGCTTCTATTGTGCTGTGCTGGTTTATGTGTTTTTTTGCAGAGGTGTTGAATTGCGCAGCGCGTGCAAATGTCCGCGTCACGGCAGAGGGTCATCCTGCGAGTTCCGGACTCTTGGAAATCCAGACCAGCTCCGGGTCATATGGATCTGTTTGCGGATTGAATGCCGAAGCAGCAAGTGTGGCCTGCAGGCAGTTGGGCTTTGAGTTCGGTGTGCAAAGCCCATCTCCATGCGGCCAGTATGGAGGAGGGAGCTGGTGTGGGGCAGCAGGATCACCTGTCGCTGTGAAGGGCTTGAAGTGCTTGGGAACAGAAATGAGTGTTGATGAGTGCAGCTCAGAAGTTGTAGATGAGGCATGTCTGAGCCACGGCAGTGATGCTGTCATCTTCTGCGGCACAAGCTCTGTGGGGGCTTTCCGAGACGGCGAGCTTCGGTTGGTTGGATCAACAGGTGCACCAGCCCTGCCCAAAGAGGCCGGACGCCTGGAAGCGTTTCTGGTCGCCGCTCAAGCTTGGGCTCCGGTGTGCAAGCTTGGATTCACGAGTGGATCGGCTTCAGTTGCTTGCAAGCAGATGGGCTACGCAGGGGCAGCAGGCTTCGCAGGTTGCCGATCCCAAGAAGCCTGTGGAGGAGTGGCGCCGCAGCTGGCAGACTTGGCTTGCGCCGGTTCAGAGACCAGTGTGCTGCAGTGCCCTATGTCAATCGGGGACGATGTGTTCTGTGCGCCAGAGGAGTCCGTCCTTTTGTCTTGTTCTGGACATGGTGATCCGATTGGAAGACCGATGGCTGCTTAAGCCCGAATCGTTGGCTGTGGCGGTCGGCCGCAGTCCTTGGCGCGCCGAGCAACCAACGTTGCCGTTGAGGAGCGAACTAAAGTAAAGCAACCGGCCTGCGCTACACACCGCGATCGTACGACGTATGATTGATGTAGGACTCGTCGGTGTCGGATGTAGCCGCTGGTTGGGCTGCGCTTTGTCGTGTGCATGTCCGAAGGAAAGTCAAGTGTATGTGTGTGTGTGTGTGTGTGTTGATTTAGGCACGTTTGCAGTCGCATATTGCGTGACGTGCGTGCTTGCTAAAGTTGTCCGTGTGCCACTGTGTGTTAAGTGTTCTTGCTCGAGTGCCTGCAGCGCTGTCGGACGGCATACATACTTGTTTTCCCATCCTCCCGCCCTGCGTCTGCAGGGGTAGTGGTTGCAGCTGAGTCGCTTTCTCAGCATCGGAGCTGGCTGATGTCTTCTTTGTTTCAGAGAAGCTCATCTCTGTGCCGCCGGTTCACCGTGTGAACAAGCGTGGGAGTTCACTGCAAGGGTGCCTGGTCTTCGGCTTTCGGTTGCGGTTGGGTTTGCTGGTCTTGTCCTGGGGGTTTGGGTTGGTTGCTTGTTCGGGTTCCTTGGCGGCGCGGTAGGATCCCTGTGCGAATGTGTGTGTGTGTGTGCTGCTAAACTTATTCCACTTTCAAAACACATGTTCAGTGGATATTCTCGCTGGAACTCTACTGCCGGTCGACCGCTTGCAAGCGCTGTACACTGTACACATTGTGTAAGGTATGCCACAGCTCTGTCGCGAAGAGGATTACGAACGCTGCAGATGTCTGACTCTGCGCCTGCCGCGTGAAGTTGTTCTGGCGCGACCTTGGCGATTGTGGCCTTCGATCCTTTTGCTGCGTGGAGGATGTTGTTCTCAATTGGAGCACTGTCCTCTTTGCTTGCAGTTGCAAGGCATGTGTCTGTGGCCGCTACTCCTGCCCACTTCCTGATCATCAGCGGCGTGACGGCAGTTGATGAGACTTGCTTGGCAGGGTCTGCAGCAGGTGTGTGGCTCGAATCCTGCGAGAAGGCAGTGGCTGGCATGAGTGGGGAGGAGATCTGGAGCTTAGCGACAGATGGGAGCTTGGTGCATGCGGAGTCGAAGACATGTCTCAGCCCGCAAGGAACAGGTGCTGCTGGTGTGCCTCTAACGCTGGTGTCGTGCGACGCAGCTGGCGGCGTGGCGAAGTGGGAGCTGCAAGGGAACGGTCAGGTCAAGATGGGGCAGAGCAGCATGTGTATCAGCCAGGTCGGGCCAAGTGGTGCTGCGGTCAACGTGGCCGCTTCAGCTTCAGTGTCTGCAAGCTCGACGTTAGATCCCAGCCACGTACTGGGTTTCTAAGATGGACGAGGCAGATGCCGTCAGCCTTCTCCTTGACTTTGGAGAGCCCGTGCATGGATCCATCTTGGAGCTCGACTTCGAATTCGTGCCTTCCGCGTTTTCAGTGCAGGCTGCTGAGCCCTCGTCGGAGAATTGGTTGCAAATATTCGCCACAGACTCGAACGCTTTGAAGCATGTGAAGATTCCCCTTGCGACGGCCAAGCCCATGTCGGCAATCAAACTCATTATGAAGGAAGCCCATCCGACTCTCGGGGCAATGAACGGCCACAAGCTTGTTGCAGTCCGTTCTATCAGGCTGCTGACGCGGATGCTGCAGCCGGTCCTGGAGCCATGTGCAGCCGCGGCGAAAAGCCACGATGCAAGAGACAAGTTTTTCACCGTTGCAGTGAGTGGTTTCGACCCGCAAGCTGGTGCTGCTTTGGCAGCCGAGATGCCTGCGCTGGAGTCGGCAGATGCGGCGTTATCGTCTATCGTTGTGGAGCTCGCGAAGGCTTTGCCTGCGATCAGCTCCTGCAAGCCTGCCGGCCCTGTCTCCCTTCGTGCCAATGCCACGATCCAGAGCGTTCAGCGACACCGTGCAGTCGGCGACATGGCATTGGACTTGGGCCAGGAAGCAGCCTTGCTGGAGGAAGCCAGGGGCACCATTGTCGCAGCGCGTGGGCTGCTGGCTTCGTCGTGATCCTGGCCATGACAGATTGAACGATTGGGTGTTGGCGTCAAGCAGCAGAGCTCGTCAGCGCTCCCAACGGAGCTTCGTTGCAACGTGCTGTAATACTGAAATAATAGCTTTTGCCAGTTGGTACAGATCGCAGACATCTCTAGACTCTGGCCTGGTCAGGCTTGCTTGCAAGGAGGATTCCGGACTAGAAAGAGAAAGTGTCGTGGACATGGATGTATAACAAAGCTGGTCTTGAAGCTTTCGAGTATCTGAATCACTTGACTCTCGGTGCAGCTTGTTCCTATGCTTGCTCTTCGTGCTTCTACGCTGGGGTGTGTCTTGGCCTATCAGCTGGTGCGACCGTCAGGCCATGCGGCTTCTATTGTGCAGTGCTGGTTTATGTGTTTTTTGTGCAGAGGTGTTGAATCGCGCAGCGCGTGCAAATGTCCGCGTCACGGCAGAGGGTCATCCTGCGAGTTCCGGACTCTTGGAAATCCAGACCAGCTCTGGGTCCTATGGATCTGTGTGCGGAATGAATGCCGAAGCAGCAAGTGTGGCCTGCAGGCAGTTGGGCTTTGAGTTCGGTGTGCAGAGCCCATCTCCATGCGGCCAGTATGGAGGAGGGAGCTGGTGTGGGGCAGCAGGATCACCTGTTGCTGTGAAGGGCTTGAAGTGCTTGGGAACAGAAATGAGTGTTGATGAGTGCAGCTCAGAAGTTGTAGATGAGGCATGTCTGAGCCACGGCAGTGATGCTGTCATCTTCTGCGGCACAAGCTCTGTGGGGGCTTTCCGAGACGGCGAGCTTCGGTTGGTTGGATCAACAGGTGCACCAGCCCTGCCCAAAGAGGCCGGACGCCTGGAAGTGTTTCTGGCCGCCGCTCAAGCTTGGGCTCCGGTGTGCAAGCTTGGATTCACGAGTGGATCGGCTTCAGTTGCTTGCAAGCAGATGGGCTACGCAGGGGCAGCAGGCTTCGCAGGTTGCCGATCCCAACACGCCTGTGGAGGCGTGGCGCCGCAGCTGGCAGACTTGGCTTGCGCCGGTTCAGAGACCAGTGTGCTGCAGTGCCCTATGTCAATCGGGGACGATGTGTTCTGTGCGCCAGAGGAGTCCGTTCTTTTGTCTTGTTCTGGACATGGTGATCCGATTGGAAGACCGATGGCTGCTTAAGCCCGAATCGTTGGCTGTGGCGGTCGGCCGCAGTCCTAGGAGCGCCGAGCAACCGACGTTGCCGTTGAGGAGCGAACTAAAGTAAAGCAACCGGCCTGCGCTACACACCGCGATCGTACGACGTATGATTGATGTAGGACTCGTCGGTGTCGGATGTAGCCGCTGGTTGGGCTGCGCTTTGTCGTGTGCATGTCCGAAGGAAAGTCAAGTGTGTGTGTGTGTGTGTTGAGTTTAGGCACGTTTGCAGTCGCATATTGCGTGACGTGCGTGCTTGAAGAGTTGTCCGTGTGCCACTGTGTGTTATCGTGTGTTCTTGCTCGAGTGCCTGCAGTGCTGTCGGACGGCATTCTTGTTTTCCCATCCTCCCGCCCTGCGTCTGCAGGGTAGTGGTTGCAGCTGAGTCGCTTTCTCAGCATCGGAGCTGGCTGATGTCTTCTTTGTTTCAGAGAAGCTCATCTCTGTGCCGGTTCACCGTGTGAACAAGCGTGGGAGTTCACTGCAAGGGTGCCTGGTCTTCGGCTTTCGGTTGCGGTTGGGTTTGCTGGTCTTGTCCTGGGGGTTTGGTTGGTTGCTTGTTCGGGTTCCTTGGCGGCCCGGTAGGGTCCCTGTGCGAACGTACGTGTGTGTGTGTGTGTGCTGCTAAATTTATTCCACTCTCAAAACACATGTTCAGTGGATATTCTCGCTGGAACTGTACTGCCGGTCGAACGCTTGCAAGCGCTGTACACATTGTGTAAGGTATGCCGCAGCTCTGTCGCGAAGAGGATTACGAACGGTGCAGATGTCTGACTCTGCGCCTGCCGCGTGAAGTTGTGCTGGCGCGACCTTGGCGATTGTGGCCTTCGATCCTTTTGCTGCGTGGAGGATGTTGTTCTCAGTTGGAGCACTGTCCTCTTTGCTTGCAGTTGCCAGGCATGTGTCTGTGGCCGCTACTCCTGCCCACTTCCTGATCATCAGCGGCGTGACGGCAGTTGATGAGACTTGCTTGGCAGGGTCTGCAGCAGGTGTGTGGCTCGAAGCCTGCGAGAAGGCAGTGGCTGGCATGAGTGGGGAAGAGATCTGGAGCTTAGCGACAGATGGGAGCTTGGTGCACGCGGGGTCGAAGACATGTCTTAGCCCGCAAGGAACAGGTGCTGCTGGTGTGCCTCTAACGCTGGTGTCGTGCGACGCAGCTGGCGGCGTGGCGAAGTGGGAGCTGCAAGGGAACGGTCAGGTCAAGATGGCGCAGAGCAACATGTGTATCAGCCAGGTCGGGCCAAGTGGTGCTGCGGTCAACGTGGCCGCTTCAGCTTCAGTGTCTGCAAGCTCGACGTTAGATCCCAGCCATGGGGCAGCCCTGGCCATTGACGGGGTGGCGTCCACGTACTGGGTTTCTAAGATGGACGAGGCAGATGCCGTCAGCCTTCTCCTTGACTTCGGAGAGCCCGTGCATGGATCCATCTTGGAGCTCGACTTCGAATTCGTGCCTTCCGCGTTTTCAGTGCAGGCTGCTGAGCCCTCGTCGGAGAATTGGTTGCAAATATTCGCCACAGACTCGAACGCTTTGAAGCATGTGAAGATTCCCCTTGCGACGGCCAAGCCCATGTCGGCAATCAAACTCATTATGAAGGAAGCCCATCCGACTCTCGGGGCAATGAACGGCCACAAGCTTGTTGGAGTCCGTTCTATCAGGCTGCTGACGCGGATGCTGCAGCCGGTCCTGGAGCCATGTGCAGCCGCGGCGAAAAGCCACGATGCAAGAGACAAGTTTTTCACCGTTGCAGTGAGTGGTTTCGACCCGCAAGCTGGTGCTGCTTTGGCAGCCGAGATGCCTGCGCTGGAGTCGGCAGATGCGGCGTTATCGTCTATCGTTGTGGAGCTCGCGAAGGCTTTGCCTGCGATCAGCTCCTGCAAGCCTGCCGGCCCTGTCTCCCTTCGTGCCAATGCCACGATCCAGAGCGTTCAGCGACACCGTGCAGTCGGCGACATGGCATTGGACTTGGGCCAGGAAGCAGCCTTGCTGGAGGAAGCCAGGGGCACCATTGTCGCAGCGCGTGGGCTGCTGGCTTCGTCGTGATCCTGGCCATGACAGATTGAACGATTGGGTGTTGGCGTCAAGCAGCAGAGCTCGTCAGCGCTCCCAACGGAGCTTCGTTGCAACGTGCTGTAATACTGAAATAATAGCTTTTGCCAGTTGGTACAGATCGCAGACATCTCTAGACTCTGGCCTGGTCAGGCTTGCTTGCAAGGAGGATTCCGGACTAGAAAGAGAAAGTGTCGTGGACATGGATGTATAACAAAGCTGGTCTTGAAGCTTTCGAGTATCTGAATCACTTGACTCTCGGTGCAGCTTGTTCCTATGCTTGCTCTTCGTGCTTCTACGCTGGGGTGTGTCTTGGCCTATCAGCTGGTGCGACCGTCAGGCCATGCGGCTTCTATTGTGCAGTGCTGGTTTATGTGTTTTTTGTGCAGAGGTGTTGAATCGCGCAGCGCGTGCAAATGTCCGCGTCACGGCAGAGGGTCATCCTGCGAGTTCCGGACTCTTGGAAATCCAGACCAGCTCTGGGTCCTATGGATCTGTGTGCGGAATGAATGCCGAAGCAGCAAGTGTGGCCTGCAGGCAGTTGGGCTTTGAGTTCGGTGTGCAGAGCCCATCTCCATGCGGCCAGTATGGAGGAGGGAGCTGGTGTGGGGCAGCAGGATCACTTGTTGCTGTGAAGGGCTTGAAGTGCTTGGGGACAGAAATGAGTGTTGATGAGTGCAGCTCAGAAGTTGTAGATGAGGCATGTCTGAGCCACGGCAGTGATGCTGTCATCTTCTGCGGCACAAGCTCTGCGGGAGATTTCCGAGACGGCGAGCTTCGGTTGGTTGGATCAACAGGTGCACCAGCCCTGCCCAAAGAGGCCGGACGCCTGGAAGTGTTTCTGGCCGCCGCTCAAGCTTGGGCTCCGGTGTGCAAGCTTGGATTCACGAGTGGATCGGCTTCAGTTGCTTGCAAGCAGATGGGCTACGCAGGGGCAGCAGGCTTCGCAGGTTGCCGATCCCAAGAAGCCTGTGGAGGAGTGGCGCCGCAGCTGGCAGACTTGGCTTGCGCCGGTTCAGAGACCAGTGTGCTGCAGTGCCCTATGTCAATCGGGGACGACGTGTTCTGTGCGCCAGAGGAGTCCGTGCTTTTGACTTGTTCTGGACATGGTGATCCGATTGGAAGACCGATGGCTGCTTAAGCCCGAATCGTTGGCTGTGGCGGTCGGCCGCAGTCCTTGGCGCGCCGAGCAACCAACGTTGCCGTTGAGGAGCGAACTAAAGTAAAGCAACCGGCCTGCACTACACACCGCGATCGTACGACGTTTGATTGATGTAGGACTCGTCAGTGTCGGATGTAGCCGCTGGTTGGGCTGCGCTTTGTCGTGTGCATGTCCGAAGGAAAGTAAAGTGTGTGTGTGTGTGTGTGTACCTCCCTAGCACATGGGAGCAGAGGGTCACTCCTTCTGTTTTTCACATGTGGACATTTGCAGGGGGCCATTCAGCCTTGCTATCAGGGAATGGCCAACGAAGAGCCTGATAGCAAGGTGCTGCAACGTACCTGCAAGGGGACGGAAACCATATCCCCGGTGTGCCAGGGACAGAACCCAATCCCTACTACGTGGCAATTTGAACGTTTTACGCCCTGCCCGGACATCGCACTTCGACAGCGGCAGTGGCAGCCATTCTCTATGTCTGGCTCCGGGGACAGAAACCTATCCCACATTATAATGCCAGGGACAGGACCCATTATCCCTACTACGTGGCATTTGACGACAATAGAGGACAGGAACCTCATCCTCACGACGCGACTTGACGACGACAACTCGCCTCTCTCTCGCCTCTCTCTCTTCCCCTTCCTGCACTCCTACTCTCGACCGAATCAGTCAGTGTGACTATCGTGGGTCATGAGACTCGTGAGCAGCGGCTTTCCGTCATGGCGCCGTGGTGTTCCTTCGAAAGGGAAACCGGTGATAAACCGGATGTTCAGCCTTCGTTCAGACCGTTCAGATCTCCCGATGCTTCTTATGATTACTCTCTCTCTCTGATGCTCGCATGTGAGTCTGACATGAGTGCAGGTGCAGTAACTGGCGTCTAGTGCAGTAACCGGCCGCTAATGCACAGGACTACCTCGCTAGTCTGTCCTCTATTCGACCGCTCCTTTATTCCTCAGGGAATGCAAGGGCATGTGCTTCTGACATGAGTGCAGGTGCAGTAACTTTCGTCTAATGCAAGTGGTTGCAGCTTCCTCGGGGAAGTAATCGGCCTCTCTTTCTCGTCTCTTTCTTTCTGAACTTCTCTCAATACACGCCCCTGACGGGGCTGTGTGTGTGTGTGTGAACCTCCCTAGCACATGGGAGCAGAGGGTCACTCCTTCTGTTTTTCACATGTGGACATTTGCAGGGGGCCATTCAGCCTTGCTATCAGGGAATGGCCAACGAAGAGCCTGATAGCAAGGTGCTGCAACGTACCTGCAAGGGGACGGAAACCATATCCCCGATGTGCCAGGGACAGAACCCAATCCCTACTACGTGGCAATTTGAACGTTTTACGCCCTGCCCGGACATCGCACTTCGACAGCGGCAGTGGCAGCCATTCTCTGTGTCTGGCTCCGGGGACAGAAACCTATCCCACATTATAATGCCAGGGACAGGACCCATTATCCCTACTACGTGGCATTTGGCGACAATAGAGGACAGGAACCTCATCCTCACGACGCGACTTGACGACGACAACTCGCCTCTCTCTCGCCTCTCTCTCTTCCCCTTCCTGCACTCCTACTCTCGGCCGAATCAGTCAGTGTGTGTGTTGAGTTTAGGCACGTTTGCAGTCGCATATTGCGTGACGTGCGTGCTTGCTAAAGTTGTCCGTGTGCCACTGTGTGTTATCGAGTGTTCTTGCTCGAGTGCCTGCAGTGCTGTCGGTCTGCATTCTTGTTTTCCCATCCTCCCGCCCTGCGTCTGCAGGGGTAGTGGTTGCAGCTGAGTCGCTTTCTCAGCGTCGGAGCTGGCTGATGTCTTCTTTGTTTCAGAGTAGCTCATCTCTGTGCCGGTTCACCGTGTGAACAAGCGTGGGAGTCCACTGCAAGGGTGCCTGGTCTTCGGCTTTCGGTTGCGGTTGGGTTTGCTGGTCTTGTCCTGGGGGTTTGGTTGGTTGCTTGTTCGGGTTCCTTGGCGGCACGGTAGGATCCCTGTGCGAACGTGTGTGTGTGTGTGTGTGTGTGTGTGTGTGTGCTGCTAAACTTATTCCACTTTCAAAACATTTGTTCAGTGGATATTCTCGCTGGAACTCTACTGCCGGTCGACCGCTTGCAAGCGCTGTACACTGTACACATTGTGTAAGGTATGCCACAGCTCTGTCGCGAAGAGGATTACGAACGCTGCAGATGTCTGACTCTGCGCCTGCCGCGTGAAGTTGTGCTGGCGCGACCTTGGCGATTGTGGCCTTCGATCCTTTTGCTGTGTGGAGGATGTTGTTCTCAGTTGGAGCACTGTCCTCTTTGCTTGCAGTTGCAAGGCATGTGTCTGTGGCCGCTACTCCTGCCCACTTCCTGATCATCAGCGGCGTGACGGCAGTTGATGAGACTTGCCTGGCAGGGTCTGCAGCAGGTGTGTGGCTGGAATCCTGCGAGAAGGCAGTGGCTGGCATGAGTGGGGAGGAGATCTGGAGCTTAGCGACAGATGGGAGCCTGGTGCACGCGGGGTCGAAGACATGTCTTAGCCCGCAAGCAACAGGTGCTGCTGGTGTGCCTCTAACGCTGGTGTCGTGCGACTCAGCTGGCGGCGTGGCGAAGTGGGAGCTGCAAGGGAACGGTCAGGTCAAGATGGCGCAGAGCAACATGTGTATCAGCCAGGTCGGGCCAAGTGGTGCTGCGGTCAACGTGGCCGCTTCAGCTTCAGTGTCTGCAAGCTCGACGTTAGATCCCAGCCATGGGGCAGCCCTGGCCATTGACGGGGTGGCGTCCACGTACTGGGTTTCTAAGATGGACGAGGCAGATGCCGTCAGCTTTCTCCTTGACCTCGGAGAGCCAGTGCATGGATCCATCTTGGAGCTCGACTTCGAATTCGCGCCGTCCGCGTTTTCAGTGCAGGCTGAAGAGCCCTCGTCGGAGAATTGGTTGCAAATATTCGCCACAGACTCGAACGCTTTGAAGCATGTGAAGATTCCCCTCGCTACGGCCAAGCCCATGTCGGCAATCAGACTCATTATGAAGGAAGCCCATCCGACTCTCGGGGCAATGAACGGCCACAAGCTTGTTGGAGTTCGTTCTATCAGGCTGCTGACGCGGATGCTGCAGCCGGTCCTGGAGCCATGTGCAGTCGCGGCGAAAAGCCACGATGCAAGAGACAAGTTCTTCACCGTTGCAGTGAGTGGTTTCGACCCGCAAGCTGGTGCTGCTTTGGCAGCCGAGATGCCTGCGCTGGAGTCGGCAGATGCGGCGTTATCGTCTATCGTTGTGGAGCTCGCAAAGGCTTTGCCTGCGATCAGCTCCTGCAAGCCTGCCGGCCCTATCTCCCTTCGTGCCAATGCCACGATCCAGAGCATTCAGCGACACCGTGCAGTCGGCGACATGGCATTGGACTTGGGCCAGGAAGCAGCCTTGCTGGAGAAAGCCAGGGACACCATTGTCGCAGTGCGTGGGCTGCTGGCTTCGTCGTGATCTTGGCCATGACAGACAGTGAACGATTGGGTGTTGGCGTCAAGCAGCAGAGCTCGTCAGCGCTCCCAACGGAGCTTCGTTGCAACGTGCTGTAATACTGAAATAATAGCTTTTGCCAGTTGGTACAGATCGCAGACATCTCTAGACTGTGGCCTGGTCAGGCCTGCTTGCAAGGAGGATTCCGGACTAGAAAGAGAAAGTGTCGTGGACATGGATGTATAACAAATCTGGTCTTGAAGCTTTCGAGTATCTGAATCACTTGGCTCTTGGTGCAGCTTGTTCCTATGCTTGCTCTTCGTGCTTCTACGCTGGGGTGTGTCTTGGCCTATCAGCTGGTGCGACCGTCAGGCCATGCGGCTTCGATTGTGCAGTGCTGGGTTCTGTGTGTTTTTTTGCAGAGGTGTTAAATCACGCAGCTCGTGCAGATGTCCGCGCCGCGGCAGAGGGTCATCCTGCGAGTTCCGGACTCTTGGAAATCCAGACCAGCTCTGGGTCCTATGGATCTGTGTGCGGAATGAATGCCGAAGCAGCAAGTGTGGCCTGCAGGCAGTTGGGATTTGAGTTCGGTGTGCAGAGCCCAAGTGCTTGGTGACTTGAGTCGGTGTGCGTGTTTAGCTGGATTCTAGCGAATGAGCGATCGCGAAAACTCATGACAATGACAACGCTTGGCATCACGGGGCAGCAAAACCAACCATTCCTCAATGTAGCAAGACCAGCCGTTCCCCATGTAGAGTATAGTAATGCAGCACGCAGTTATAAGCGCCCGCCCCAGACGCACGTCAATGGCATAATGGCGTGAAAATGCATCGCAGTGCAGGCTTGCACGTGCTGCCGCTCAAGCGCATGCGGCGAACACTGACGTGCAACCGCATCGTGTGCGGTGTGCCGTGCCTTTTGTCATTGGCCCGTACTGTGACATAAACCCTCTCTATCTGCGCACATACCTTCGCGTGTACAGTTGCAGCAGTGCTCTAGAGAAGTGTGGGTCGTGGGTCGACCTTGTGGTCAACTGCTGCTGAAGTGTTCCGATCTTGCATTTCAATAAGTTCCCACCCGCCCACCCCCTCTTGGTGTTTATTTGCTTCTGCACTTGAGCAGTACAGTCCCAGCGAAAAAGATGTAGTGCGCAGGGCTTGAGTAGGTTGTGTTGCGCTAGATTGAGAGGAACCGACCACGTTTCTTCCGAGAGCCCTCCTGCTCCGAGAGGCCGCTCTGGCCCAAGGTTTAGGTACAGAGGTGTGTGGGCAGTGCAGTGTGTGATGGGAGCCTGCCAGGTCCGGTCCGGGAACCTGTCGCATCATGCGTCAAGCAGTTCTGCCCCGCCCGCCGGCCCTTGTAGCGGTGGGGGGTGGTGTTTACAGTCCCTCATGGACAACCCGTGCCGTGCCGAGCATGGGCGGTGTGTACCGTCCCTCATTCTGAGACGGACAACCCGTGCCGAGCATGGGCGGTCCGATAGATCATCTTCCGTCCACGCTGCTCCAACTTAACCAGTCTTGCGACTGAGAGGAAAAATGAAGAGACCGCGTGCATTTGCAGCAG